GAAGGCCCACCTGGAGATTGTTGCCAACAGCATAAAACTAGAAGTGGAGGGGCAGACGGTGTGCTGTTGATTCTCCCAGAGAAGTGTGTCATACTGGTTTTCCTGATATGAACTCGGCTGTTCTCATCAGAGGAGCTTGGGTCCTCACTGTTGCTGAGGAGGGCTGCTTTTCTCTTCAGGGAGCTCCGTCCTTACCTTGATCATCACTTCCTGGTTCCAGGGCAGATGCCTCAGCCTGCTGGCCCAGATCCTTATCCTGCTGGTTCAGACTTTCTAGTTTCTACAACTAGCCTCTAGGCATTCCTAGTGCAGATTATTTAATACAGATAGATGTGCGTTAGACTTTGTCATGGACTGTAGGCCTCCAGCTGGACTTGTGGAGGACATTGCTATGGATTCTAGGTCATCAGCTGGACTTGTGCAGGACTTTCCCGTGGGATTCAGGCCCTCAGTGGATTCTTTGGGTCTCCAGTGTATGAACAGATCTCTTGCACTCTTCTGCATTTGACTTTTTGGGTATTATAAAATAATCATTTAAATTACGTGTCCTGTATTAAATCTATTCCCTTACAAACCCTGACTGAATGGTGGAAATCTCTTTTAGTCTTTAAATAAAGCCTTTCAATAAAAGCAACTTTGATTCAGTGGATTAAAGCACCTTCTTGGGCAGACACAGGCAATTTGCAGGCAAGCTGTACTGCCCTTGCCCTTGGGGCATGCTGAGACTAATGGCTCCTGCCTGTAATCACAGTGGTTGGAAGGCTGAAAACAGGAAGATCACTACAAGTCCGTTCTGTGTAGTGAGCCCCCGTGGATCCTGTACCAAATGCATTAAAACAAACAAACAACAAAAAAGCAAACAAGCTTCTACTTTTGTCTGGAAAAGATTTCACAGGCCTCTGAAACCTGACTTGGATTCTTGCCTTCCACCTTGCCTCAGGGTCATGGTGATACAGGGAACCTCCAAATGACACAGGGAGAAAAACTGATATCCCAACCTAAAAGGTACCTGGGACGAGTTCATATTCTCTAAAACTGAAGAATGAATTTTAGGAACAAACGGAGGTTATGAGCAGAATATATTTATTGAGGGAAAGAAAGCTACTGTGTGAGAGAAGGACAAGATGGGGGTCCAAGCGGGTTGCCTCCAGGAAGCTGTCTCTTCCAGGGACTTTTATGGAGGAAAACCACACAGTAAGGCAAGTCTAAGGTGGTGGAGAAGACATGGGAACTCACATGGGCATGAGGTGGGACATAACTATGGTCAACCAATGAGATTACAAGCACCATTGCTCAGGTAAAGTAGATTAAATCCAGTACCAAATGGGGAAGCAAGTCACCTCACAAGGGGGCATGAGTAAGGGACAGGATCTCCTCCTATTGGGGGTTGGATTAGTAACTAATGGGGGCTCTTTCAGGGTGATTGATACCTATTTAGACTATCAATCACTGATGCCCATCCCTAGGGAAGTATGTAGCTGTGTTTCCTCTTTTATCTTGGTCTTGAAGTGTGGCCCATATGGGAGTGTCTGTCTCTTCAAAATTGCAAAGTCACCTTATCTTCCAATCTTGTCTCCGTGAAGGCCTGGCCCTGTCTGATTGTCTATAATATTTCTATCTAATTTAGCTGCCTACAACAATGGCAGCTGGCTTTCCCCAAGACCCCCAGAGGCAATTGAATAGTCCAGAGCAGAAGTCCATTATTTATTTTTTAATGTATTTAGTACAGGGTCTACAGGGTCTCACTATGTAGATTGGATTTAGAGTGATTCTCCTGTTTTCATCCTCCCAAGTCCTGGGATTACAGGTCTGCACCATCATGCCCAGACTCAATCACCATGTCAGTGAGCCCTGGGGGCGGGGCCACCCCTCCATGACTGCTGTGCTCTGTCTAAGCAGGCTCTTTAGTCCACTGAGCTATCTGGCTGGCCCTCCAGTATGTTTTATCATCTAGTGTCAGAAATACTATGCCATTTAGGGAGACACAGAGGCCAGGGGTTTGATCGCTGGCCTGCAGTGCAGGCCCTGGCCCTGGGGCACACTGAGATGGCAATTGAGACAGGGCATGGCGACACGCCTGTAATCCCCACTCTTGGGAGGCTGAAAAACAGGAGGATCACTACAAGTCCAATTTGTGTAATGAGACCCTGTACTAAATACATTAAAAAAAATTAAAAAGGATCTGGTGATATAGATCACCGTGAAAACCCTAGGTTCAATCCCCATTACTGTCAAAGCTAAAAACAAAGTCAGATGTCATTTCTTCTGTCGTATTCATTGAAAATACTCTGATTCAGTTGGAAGATTTTACAGTGTGACTCCCAGAAAGTCAACCAGGATCATTGAAGAAGTTTGTGAAGGCTGGCTGCCACACTTTCTGTTTTCCTCCAAGGGAATTAGCTAGGATTACAGGAACCTCTAGCAATGTAGGCACTGGGATACCTGTTGTTTGGAGAAGAATTCCATGGAAGAAGGAAGTAAAGAATAAAAGGAATGATTCCTCAGTTTCATGTCTTGCCTATTCTCCTTTTGCGACCTTGACTTCCAAACACTAAACTGTGTGACAAAGATAGGGCACAGAACCTTGACAGTCTAAGGGACTGGGAAGTTCTTCCAGATGAAGTGGTATTTAAGAGATAGAACACTTTTTTTTTTTTTTTTTTTTTTTTTTGCAGAACCGGGTATTGAACTCAGGCCCTTGTGCTTGCCAGGCAAGCTCTTATTCTGCTAAGCCATCTCCCCAGCCAAATGGCAGAAGGAGGTGTTTTTTTGGGGGGTGGGGAGGGGTGCTCAGGATGCCTTCAGGGCAGGTCTGGTTTGGCTTGAGGATGAAGGGATGGAACCACAGCATCCTGAGCCTGACTGCTTTGTTTCAGCAGGCACTTAAACACCTAAGCTAATGGGCAGGCCCCCACAAAGTGGTATTTAAGCTGAGACCTGTATTGTGAGTGGAAGGTAGCTCTGTGAATTGGAAGAACTTTCAAACTGAAAGTGGGCTAAGGGTATAGCTCAGTGGTAGGTAGAGCACTTGTCTAGCATGTATGAGATTACGAGATCCTGATTCTCATCCCTAGTGCTGCAAACAAAATGCTAAGTAAGCAACAACATAAGCAAAGCAAAATAAAACCATAAACAAACAAATCCTCCCAAAACAGAAAGACAAAAACAAAACCACAAAACCACAGAGAGAGAGAGAGAGAGAGAGCATTCAGTGAGTTCTGAAGAGCTGTAAGAAATTCAACCTGAGAAAAGTTGACAGGATGAAAGAAACAATGTACAGTGGGAGACTGACTTTTTTCTCTCATGAAAAGTTCTAGTAAAACTTTTTGCAATAATAGAATTTTCCTTAACTGCACCAAATAGTACTGAAATCACAAGCTATCCATAGCTATTGAGGATTTGAAACATGGTTTGGTGTGACAGAGGAACTGAATTTTAAATTTAATTAAGTTTAAATACCTGCACTTGATCGGTTGCAACTGTATTATACAGCAGAGATAGTATCTTACACTAAGAGACTTGCCTGAATAGTAGTGAGGGGGACAGAGGCAGCAAGCGTGCACTTTGCTATGTAGGTAGTGAGTCCTTCAAACCAAAAGGAACAATAAACTAACCCCAGTGCTTAATAAGTGCTAGCCGAGGGCTTGATATTTCATTACCTTTCCCTGCAAGGCTATTTGTAATTGAGCTGGATACTCGGCACAAAGACTGTGTGAAGACACAGGGGACTGGCTCTCAGATGGCAAAATTCGAAAGCAGTACATATACCAAGTAGGACCAGGGGCAGGGCCACTGTCTTTTAGGAGAATCAACAGTGTAGTAGCTGTGTCCAAACTTGCACCTTTATTATTATTTAGGCCAGCAATAGGATTCTTAATTCCCTGCCTCGCTCCCTTGGTTCCGCTGACGTTTTAGGTAAGCCTTGGGAAGACAAGGTGAAGCAATTGAGCGCCTCCTAAAAGCTCACCAGAAAGTCTAAAAATGTGCATACACTGGTTGGGAGCCAGAGGTTCTGGGTTCTGGGTTCTGCTACTATTTTGCCACACTTTCGTCTCAGCTTTTCCGATTGCCTGATTCCCTGGGCGCTCATGTAATGTAATAACGACCACCAAGGTAATAGAAATAGCCGCTATGTTAACTGAGTGCTTTCAAATTCCAGGCACCATAATACCTATTTCTCCTCCTCCGCCCCCTTTTTTTGGCGGTACTGAGGATCAAACTCAGTACCTTACTTTTGCCAGGTAGGTGCTTATGCCTCTGACCTATATCTTGGCCCCTCAAGCCAGGTATTTCATATGCACCGCTTGAATGCAGTCCTCAGGGCTGTTCTTTACACTATTTCATAAATAAGAAAAACGAGACTCCATGAATTTGGGTGAACTAATGCAAGGGAACTCAGAGAAAGAAGTTGAGTTGGATTTGAATCTGTGCGAAAAGATTTAACCTTTTTTTTTTTTTGGCAGAACCGGGGTTTGACTCAGGCCCTTGGCAAGCGCTTAATTCTACTGAGCCGCCTCCCTGGCTCAGCTCTGGCTTTTAATCCCTTCGCAGTCCGCCTCTCTCCGCGGGGCGGCCGGGTTCAGGTGTGGAGGGTGGCTGAGCAATACCAAGTAGTGTTTTCCGTGCGTAGTCGGAACGTGACCTTTACACACGTCACTCGGCTCACGCAGCCACTACACGAGCGGGAAAACGCGGCTCAGAGAGGCTCAGAGCTGAGCCCAGCGCACAAAGCCGGCGGAGGGCAGGGCTTCGCCGCAGCTCGCGCCCCCCCAGGCCCCGCGGCTGCTCCGCGCGACTCCGCCCACGCGCCTTGACGCCACGCCTCCGCCGCGCACGCGCTCTGGGCTGG